CGGACGAAATCTTGACGGATCTTACGACGCGTCTAAAATGTAATTGCACTCAAATCGTGGGTTGGCGGATGTAAAAAAGGGTTTGGTTATTCCTCTTAAAACAAATGACCTTATAAAGGCATCATTATGCTACATATTGTAACAGAAGTATCACCTCTAATACGACATTTAATAAATTCTACTCTACTAGCCTAGGATAGGGACACAGCCTCCACAAAATAACCATTGGCCCGAAATTCGTTTCCTATGGAACGCATCAATTGTTCCATGCAAAAATACGCAAATATATACACAGAACCAGACCGCATATAGCTTTGCAATCTCTGCGAGTGCGTGTGTGCATCTGCGTGTGCGAAGATCGATGGAAGAGAGGAGTGGAGGGGCGAAAAGGATCATGGTGGTGGATAAAGGGAAGAGGAGGAAGAAAGAATAGCATTTTCCTGTGCAAGTATGCATGTGTGTGCGCACCTGAATGCACATAAGGTACAAGGCCTATCCAATCAGGCAAAAGTGTGCTGTCACTGGGTGTGCCAAGGCCATAGCACGCCACCTACGCACCAACAACAGCGTCCAGACATCCCAAAATCAAAACTAATTGCATCCTTGGAGAGATGTCGACGGCAGTCTCCACCGTGCCCGATTCCACCACCTCACCGTTCGGAAACATGAGCGTTGGAGATCCTCCACGCTTGCTTTCAGAATTGGAGGGAGGAATTACAGTGCAGGAGGGAGATCCAGTCCATTTAGATGTTCGTGTAGCCTCCGATTCTGATGTTCAAATCACCTGGCTTAAGGATGGGAATCCAATTTTGCCTGGTATGTATCAAGTCTAACATTTTACGCAAAGTATTTTTCGATCTTCTTATCCATAACAAATTACTATCAGTCTATAGGACATTTTGTTTCAGGAGTCGGGGCTAAAATACTTAAAAATAACCGAAAAATATGAATCATTTAACTAACCGAAATTCCTAAAATCTGAAAGGCACCTTCTTTCCTCACATGTGAGCAACATAGGCAATTTACTAAAAAAAGGTTAAAATGAAAACAGGAGATCAGAGAGCAGTTTTCATTTTTCTACACTGCATTTTAAATGTTATTATTTGGCAGTTCTTAGGCAAAACAAAATTTTGTATTGAGCCTGCTCTGCCGTATTCAGTAGACAACTGTTAGGCCTTTTGGCGAAATCTTATACCATTAACTTTGTGGCCAGCTTAAAAACTATTCTGGTTCTAGGCTACGCCAATAATTAATTGTAGTAAATAGGGCTTCAGTAGTTTTTCAAGGTCCCAATGTTTAACTCCATACTCATGCATCAGAAAAATGCCACTTAAAAGCTTATGCAAAGACATGATACGAATTGCTTCCTTTCAAATGACCGCACAATATTTCATTTACCTTGGTTGACGCAAATACTCTTGTAGATTACGAATACAAACACAACTAATGTGCCTCGATCGACAAGGTTAAGACTTCAGTAGTTAATGCGACTTTTGAACAGAACTTACTAAACTAAAAGTCCTTTATCAAATGTTATCCACTTAGAGTAAACAAAAAGCAGCATTCTAGTCATGCCTGGTTCATTATCAGGACACCAAGCTACTATTTAAGGAAGTGAAGTGGACGGCAATTCTGCATTTCATCAACTGGCTTGTAGTTGAGTCTAGGATATTCCTTAATAAAAAGATGGTAGTGGGAAGGATTTCGAAGAGTCAGTTGTATGTGAACAAAAAAAACCGGCAATGTATTACATTTTTTGCATTGACAATGCATCCTGTCCGAAGGTATTCTCTTTAATGTAAGTTTGATGAAAAATGCCTCACTTCTGGAATGTACGCTATGAACTAATATTCGTGAGATAATAATGCTGCTTAACATCTTAAAATAAAGCAGGACTTCTCCTGGAGCTAAGATGTCCATGCAAATAGCCACGCATTGCAATCGTTGAAATGAATCCAGCTATCAAACAATCGTCTGAATAACGAGATTTAACGATTGCATTCAATGTTTGTGACACATCTTTTCAGTGTCGTGTCTTGATTTTAGTACACATCGAAAAAGGACTTATAGCAACAATTGGTACCAACATGACTACGATGTATTTCTTCGATCTACGTCAATGCGAAAAGTTACAGGTCCCAATTGAAGCAAAAACTCTTCAGTTCGAGCTCAAATAATAGCTCTTAGAGTAATTAGTCAAATCTTAAAACATAATTAATTCGTTGCATTTTAGTGGTTATGAACGTTCGCATCCACATTCATAGGAGTCCCCCCACTTTCATTGCTTTCTGTGCAGCACTTGCTGGAGATGTGATGAAAGGTTTCCCATTAATCTGTCCAATAGTGTGGATGTAAAGTGGTGGAAATTTTGTGCGCAAAAGGCTTGATTTGCCAAAAATGCAGACTATTTTTTGGTGCACTGTCTGTAAGAAACGCACAAACATTTTTCTTCCCTTTAAATAATGTGTAACACTTTTCAGGTTCTAGAATGCACGATGCATTCGATCGTGGATAC